TTCACATTTTTTAGTACTTGCCAATACCATAATGAGTCTAGCTAATTTTAAATGAAATGCATTAGGTAGCTATTGCAACGTTTGTTACCTTTGATCGAGTAGTGCTGCAGTGGAGAAGAGTGGGTTTTGTTCCTCGTCAGAAAAGCACTTGTGTACAGCTGTAAGTAAAGTACGTTTTATAGCTTTGAACCAGGATCTGTCTTTTAACAACAGTTTCTGTAGCACAGTGACGGCATTAATCACACCCGAGGCTAATGCATCCAAGAAACTAATGTGGAGGTTTGCGTCTGAATTAGTTTGTTTGGCTGGTCTAGCTGTAACTGACTGTCCTCTAAAGCCAGACATACACTGTTTGATTTTAGAAATCTTGTTCTTTGGAGTCAAACTGTACATTTGAATAGTCTTTTATGTATGAACAAATCCTGTAGAGTTCATTTTGTGCCAAAAGTTTTAAATAAAATTATAAAATCCACAAGCAAAATGTTCAGTATAAAGCCATCCAGAGTTAAATCAAACTTAATTTTTCAAAAAGATTTCTACTTATTTTCAATCATTTTCTGATATAAATTTATGAGTCATTTTGTCTGTTTTTGCTTTCATTTCCTGTATTTGCTGATTTTACTAATATTGTTTTTGCTTCTGGAATTGCTCTTTTGCTTCTGACTTTGCCACTTTTTAACAGGGGGCGGGTCTTAGAAGAGGGCATTCACCTGCACTTTCTATTGGTTAGCTGATTTGGAGTGATGTTTTCTGACCACACAGCCGTGCCCACTCTGAGAGCCGTGATCTTCCTCAAAAATGGTTGTACTGCATGTAGTACTGCCAGAAAGGGTTGTGCTAACATGTCCGTCCTTATGAACAACGTTGGTCATATTTATTGATGTAACGCGTTTAATCTCTACAAATGGAATAAAGTTTGCATCTCATGGCATGCCCTTTTACAGAATGCTGCTGCTCCAAATCGCTGTCTTTACATTAATACAGTGAACTAACTTTAGATATTTAAGTAGTTTAGTTCCATTACCAGTATGGCTCTCCTAGTTAGCCCTAGAGGGTGCTGCTAGGCTAGTACTAGCAGTTGCAAACTCAAAAGGTGGGACCGCTTCATTCATAAACAACTTAAGTTTATTCTCGTCAATGCCAAAAATAACAGTTACATGTTTTTAGACAGGTCAACACAGGACCCATAAACACGTAGCACTCAGTAGGACCTGTTCCGCCTTGTTGGGGGCGGTTCATGGCAGTGGCTGAGTAGCACTGAAGCTAAAAGCCAGGCGGTGAGGTACATGGTAAGACAATACGGCCTCTCTACAGCCTGTCTTATAGGAAAAAATCACTGTATTAGCGTTTGTATCTCGTAATTCATTTCACTCAAACAGCATGGAATGACTTTGGTTGAAAATGTAGAATCTTTTGTCTCCCTTTTTATGCCTTTGTTTCTCTGTATTGGGGAAGCAACACAGTGTGTTCCTGGTGGGAATCTGCCAAGGTAGAATGTATAAATTGACCAGTGACTTTGTGCCCAACTGTCACGGAGTCGGCAGCACTTCTCTGTGTAAGCAGAGCCTCCTTCGCTGCATTTGTTTATTAGGCCAGTGTACACTCGGCTTACATCACACAATATCAGCAGGTAAGGGAATGTTAGTATCGGTCATTTCAAGTAAGAGAGCGCAGTATTAGCCTGATACCTGATACCGGTATCAGTAGTGATACATCCCTAGCTGTAAGATTATCTTATTTCTAAAAAAATTTACTTTGTGACATTCTCTCCGTATTGGCAGATTGTTTTACAATTGCTTGTTTTACAAGATATGCTATCTGACATAGAGATATAGTGAGACAATTTTGCAGAGTAATGTAGAAGTAAACTAATGATTAATGAAATGACATTACAATTTGAGAAAAGTAATTAGTAATTTGTGATGTATTACATTGTGAGTAACTACCACAGCGCTGGAGCTATCTAGACTAACAATAATGATAGCATCATGTATGGTCTGCTGAGACGTTGCAGCATGTTAGCTTTGGGAGTGCAGCAATAAATCTTTTGCTTTTATTCCTCTTTTTGAGTTTCTCTGCTGCTCTTAAATAACTTTTTTTGATTTTCCCTCTCAACACCCAGATCACACAAAAGAGTCTCCTTTTCATAACGTAGATTATCATTTAATTGCCCTTTCCATACCAATCCATCTTTAAACAGTTGCAATGACATGGAATAGTCCATTATAACTATGACAGAGGGGTGAAATTACTGCACTGAAATTACTGAAAAGTATCACTATTTTTAAAATGTAAACATATTTTGGAATAGGTGATTCAACATCCACTTGTACATTATATCTAATTTGTATTTTCATTGGGCCATTGGCTCATGGGTGTCTACCTTTGCCTAGTGCAAAGACCACCCTTGATTTTAGTGCAAAAAAATGAAAACTGTTTCATGGCTGTTCTAATGCACTACTATTAGTCAAGACTGCATAGACACAGCAACTTGTTTACTCGTGGTAACTCTGTACAAACAAACCTAATACACTGCATGTACAATCACCTGTCTTCATGTGTTTGCTACTGCACACTCACACGTTTTGGTCCTTTAAAAGAGTCCAGGTAATTCCAAAATATAAAACAGTTTATTTGAATATTTTACATGGTTTTATGAGCAATCTGTTTCATTGCGCTTTGGATTTGTATATTTCTAGCTAGGATAATGTGAGCAGAAAAGTGACTTGCAGTCAATTTTCATTTGCCAGGCTAAGAAAAATAAATATCCATGAATTAAGGTGCATGACAGACAACAGAGATTTTATACAAAGGCTTAGTAAAAATGATACTAAGGAACAAGGACTTATTGTAGGTCTTTTCATTATCCACAGCACAGAGGTTTATCATTAAAAAAGTGTGAGTGCTCTAAAAAAAAAAACAACTGACAAAAGAAAATACAAATGGAACAGATACAGTGAAAACATGAGAATACCAATCCTTTCGCATATGATGATGTAAAAATTTTCTTAGTCTTTGAAACAATGTGACCTTAAATCATGCTGACTGGATCTTACTTAAAGCTTCAGTCCGTTGTAGTAAGTTAATATTTCAAGTATAACATCTGTTATTTTCACCTACTTCATTTTTTTTTATAATGGATCTGTGAAACAAAAGTGCAAATTAGCTGTCTTTAGGCTTATTTATGAATAAATGTGGTGATTAAAAAAACGTTGACTATGTATTAGTGATGAAAAATAAGGGTCCGTGTTCAGTTTGTCATTTAGAACTCTGTTAAATACAAACATATTCTTTAAATTTATATTAAAATAAAGATTTTTATTTGATGAAAACTAAAATAATACACTGTTGTTCCATCTGTTACCTACTTAAACAATACTGTTTAAAACACTGATTCCCAACATCAGTTGTGGGGTCTCATATTTTCATGTTTTCCCTACTCCAGCAGACTTAAAGAACTGAATTTAGGTGTGCTATGGTGGAGAAAACGTTACAGTATACTATGCAGTCAGTTCCCTATAACTGGTAACAACTCAATAAGACTATATTTCAAAAGGTACCCTTTAATCTAATGCATCTCAAACAAAAATATTAAAATCTATACACCTATGACCATTTTTTTTGTTCACATCTTTGCTATCTTTACATGTACATCCATTCTAATGATGCAGTAAATTACATCAAGCCACCTACAGATATATTTCAAGTGCAAAATTTGCAGTTCTTTCAAAAAGTATAACTTTTCATTGTTAGCAGTTTTTATACATGATAACATGATTTGATAAGACAGTAGTAGGATGCATTTTAACAGTTATGAAACAAGAAGACAAAACTTTATAAATGCGCATAGAACTATGATAAGAATTCTCTTTGGGAAAAGTTAAGGATGTTAACTATGTTAGCATGTTAAAAAGACTGAGCACATGATTACAAACCCCATGCTTGTTTATTGTGACTAAGCTATACCTGATCCATGCATAGTTTCATTTCTTATACCACCATAGCATGCTCTTCAAAAAAGACTACATTTACCATATTGCTTATATCTTATTGTTGATCTTTATAAAAGTCACTTCAAGTGAACAGTATCTCACAGTTTTTGATACTTTCATAAAGATAAAAATGTATTCAAGTTAATTTATCATCTTCGACTAGGTTTGACAACAACGTTTTTGTGTGTTTCAAAAAATTAAGGGGCCAGTCTTTCAAGGCGTTCAAAGATGAATAATCACTGCTCCTATTAAATTATAGATGAAAGCTATCCATATTCACACTATTCAATGGCAGTTCTGAATGTAAGAGCTTTTAATTTACAGTGTATTAAGTTTTGGAAATTGGTTTGAACAGTTTATAGTAAACTATATACAAGAATTTTACTGTCCTGTAATTTTTCCATTAAAACTGTCAGAAAACAAATTTGCCTTGCTTCGTCACTACCTTTGAAAATCTGGCCCTGAAATTCATTTTCTGTGTGAACTGCAGTTAATCTTCAGTTCGACAACAATTTAACTTTTGATAATACTGTATGTGGAAAAGTATAGTACTGTATTGCCTTCTTCCTAACAGAACATGTTCCACTGATGCTGAAATCCTAAACGCAGTACGTCTACAAACGTATCATTAAACGTAGCTTCTTTGTCTTATACCAAAAGAAGAAACTAAAAACTAAAAATTAAAACAATGATTTGACAGATTAGTCCAAGATTAACAGTGGTTGTAGATATTATGGATATAAATATCCATACAGATCCACTGTACAACTTGACTTTCTTTGATAACCACATTGAAACATCAAAATAAAGTCATTTTGATGATATGCTATAGGCCCCACATTTCAGGTGCAGTGATTTCCTAGCATGACTCTCTTTCAGACCTTCCGATAGTAGAAGCTTAAATTCTACAGTGGGACTGTTTCGACACTCACCACCATGGGACTAGGTGGAATTTTATCAGCATCATCAGTGGTGTGCTGTCAAAGCCATACTCTACTCAAGATGTGATTAGGAGAACATATCATCCTTGTCTGAATCTGGTGACTCAGGTCGTGATAACTCAAACAGGTGCGAGGAGCCTGAAATCTTTCTTGATTTGAGCAGTCTTAGCATCTCAGCTAGTTGGCCCTCCAGTACTGCCATGCGGCTATTAAGGGAGCAGATGTCTCCTCTCAGTTCTTGCTTTAGCTCCAAGAAGGACGCCTGAAGGCTGTATTCTGGAATGGGGTAAAAGACTCGTCTTCCCTCTGCCTGAATGGGGCTTCGGTCCTGAGGGGTTCGGGCTGTCCCTTCACCCATGTTATCCAGCCGCAGATCACTCTTTGTGATGCCACTGTCGCACGAGTCTGTCTTCTTCAGTGACAGTTCATCTTGTGACTTAGTCCTATCTGGTAGGGTCTCCATTGACTCTGCTTTGGAAACGGAGCTCCAGGAGAGATCTGACTTCCCTGTGGCCTCTTTAAACCGACTCCAGGCTTTGCCTTTAGGAGGTTCAGAAGATGTACCTCCTGTTTGGTTACCACTAGGGCCAAAAGGAGCATGAAGTTTAGCTCGATTTGAAGTCCTTGATGAAGATGATGTGGAGGACGAAGAGGAAGATGCCAGGGGTGTTGCAGGGCTTTCAGTGACTGTAACAATGCTGGTTGTAGCGTTGACTTCATGGACCATAGTCTTCTCCATGTGGACAGAACCTTGTTCCACATCCATTTCTCCCTGGCTGGCTCGCTCTGCTGCCATTCGGGCCTCCTTCTGCTGACGGAATCGCTGGAAGAGGCGTCGCACAGGGTGATCTGGAGGAAAATTGAGAGGGGCTTCGTCCTTCCTCTTCAGCATCTCTTCTTCCTCTCGCTTCACGTCACTGATCTTGCGGAAGACTATCTGAAGGATGAAACCACAATGGGAAAGGTCAGCATAATGTTTTAACACTCAAAAGTTTAGATCATGCATTCTCCAGGTTGCCCAGCATACTTGTTAAATTGGTTTACACAAAGCTTGCTTCATTAATACAATGTTGTTCAATTAATACTAGTATTCCACCCCTGGCCAAATTATATATTTCATTGATTTTTGATTACATTAATGCACAGTTACTTAAAAAATAAAAAATAAAATAGTAATTGTTGCATGTGGAAGTCTGGACACCCTTCTAAATGTAAAGTATTTGACAATAAACAGCCAACAGACCTTATTTCTCTTTTTGAGACTGGTTAGGCAGGCCAAGAATTGTCATAAGGAATTGTCAGCTGACAATAACTAAATTCGCTGACTCTTCAAACCTTGTGCTAACACTTAACAACCATGGCCTCACCTAAGCAGCAGGCCAAGGAACTAAAAATGAAACTAACTGATACCTACAAAGCAGGGGAAAGCTATAAAAAGAGCTAAAAAGAATGGTATCAAAGCTTGGGCTTGCAAATTATATTGTCTGAGATGTCATCAAGAAATTCGCAGTTAAGGTGAACTGTGGAAGTTGAGGCAAGATCTGGAAGACCAAGAAAACTGGATTTAAGGCATTGGAGGATTTAAGGTAGCAGTGAATTTAAGTTACCAAGGTATTTGAAGTACCAGTGTATTTAGGGTACCAGAGAATTAGTCAGTGTATTTAAGGTAACAATTAATTTAAGGTAGCAATGTGTTTAATGTACCAGTGAATTTAAGGGAGCAGTATATTTAAAGTACCAGTGGACTTAAGGTACAGGTGTGTTTAGGGTAACAGTGAATTTAAGGAAGCAGGATATTTAAGGTGGAAGTGGATTTAAGGAAGCATTGGATGTAAGGGAGCAGTAAATTTAGGGCAGCAAGGAATTTAAGGTGGCAGTGGTTTTAGTGTATAGTTAAATTTTTAGGTGGAAGTGAATTTTAGGTAGCCCTGTGATGGACTGACGACCTGTCCAGGGTGTTTCCTGTCTTCCGCCCAATGACCGCTTAGATAGAGGGAAGGATAAGCAGCTTGGAAAATATGTGTATGTGTGTGAATTTTAGGTAGAAATGGATGTAAGTTATCAGTAAATTTAAGGTGGCAGTGAATTTAAGGTAGTTGTGGATTTAAGGCAGCAGTGGATTTAGGGTGGCAAGTTAGTAGTGGACTTCAACTTTAAGTGGATTTAAGAGATCAGTGGATATAAGGTGCAATGAATTTAAGATGGCAGTGAATTTAAGGGAACAGCAGGATTAAAGGTAGCAATGAATTTAAGGTAGCACAAGATTCAAGATGACTGTGGATTAAAGGTAGCAGTGAATGTAAGGTAACAATGGAATTATGGTGGCATTGGATTTAAGGTAGTGTTAGATTTAAAGTAGTAATAGATTTAAGGAAGCGGTGGATTTAAGGTACCAGTGTATTTATTAGCATAGCAACCATCTAGCAACACCTTAGCAAGAACCTGGGACACCATAAAAACCACCTAGCAACAACTTGCCAACCACTTTGGATACCATAGCAACCACACAACAAAATCTAAGCAACTCTTGAGCAACAATCAACAGTCTTCCAAAATTTAAATGTTCTAACATAATTAGTTGTCTTTTTCAAGCCAACTTATAGTTTGTTCACGAACTTTCCCTTTCTAGTTATTAAGTTGGCATGAAAAAGTCAACTTACTGTTCTTCATAATCTTCTTCTTATAATTATTCTACACTCAAAAAATAAAATGTTTCTTGTCCCATAGTTTTTGAGCTAGAACAAGGAAACTTTGCAAAATCGTAGGACCTCTACCCGATTAGGTTGCTTGTGCTTTTCGAAGTGAAAATGTACAGTTTTCGTAAAATGATCGTTCAAAGATGACATTTTTTCCCATATTAAATGAATAGCAGAGTGATGTCATAATGCACATCCCTCACGCAGACACTCATACACAGTACACACAGACTCACATGCATACAGCCTAATGCACAGCAATAACAGCACAAATAATGGATTTAAGGTATCAGTAAATTTAAGACGGCAGTGAATTTAAGGTGGCAGTGGAATTAAGGAGGCGTTTGATTTAAGGGAACAGTATATTTAAGGTAGCAATTTAAGGTAGCACAAGATTCAAGGTGGCAGTGGACTTAAGGGAGGAGCAGATTTAAGGTCTCAGTAAATTTAAGGTGGCAGCGGATTTAATGTAGCAACAGATTTAAGGTTGCAAAAGATTTAAGGTGGCATTGGATTTAAGGTAGCAATGGGTTCAAGGTATCCATGGAGTTAAGGTGGTATTCAAGGTAGCAATTAATTTAAGGTATCAGTGGATTTAAGGTAGCAATGAATTTAAGGAAGCAGTGGATTTAAGGTGCCAGTGTATTTATTAGCATAGCAACCACCTAGCAACACCTTAACAACAACCTGGGACACCATAAAATCCACCTAGCAACACCTTACCAACCACTTAGGATACCACAGTAACCACCTAGCAACATCTAAGCAACTCTTTAGCAACCATCAACAGTCTTCCGCCATTTTAATGTTTTAAAGTAACTTGTTGGCTTTTTCAAGTTCACAAACTTTTCCTTTTTTAGTTTATTTTTTATTTCTATTTTTAAGTTAATCAAATATAAACTAACCGTGAATTGACATTTGCAGCAAAATGATATTTCAAAAAACAGTTTGCCGCAGAGGTTGTGTTTACTTTTCACTTCAAAATCAACCAAGTATGTAATTTGGCCGGGGTGCCCAAACTACTGCATGCGCATATAATCACTGTATATAAAAAATCTGACATTTTCAATATAGGGTCTACAGACATGTTGATGCAGCAAACAAACTATGATCATTGTGCTGATAGACATCAAACTGTGGTTGGTTAAATTATGGCTGAATTCAATTATGGCTGAATAACCATACCATCAGCACACTCATCCTAAAGCACAAAGCAGAGAAAAAAATCCTGTGAGGCTAGATCTGATGTTGCTAGTAGTGGCTATGTGCTAGTTCAGATGTAAACCATTAAAAAACAAAGAAATCTTTGCTTCCTACCTTAGCAGCATGGCTAACGATGTGGACGGTATCACATGATTCAGTGTTTGCTATGTGATTAGAGACTGTTGTCTTGAACCTTCCATGTATGCTCAAAAACAAAGCATCATAAATCTTATAATTATGGTAAACCTTAGCTGAGCAGACCTTCTCAGGGTGATAAAGTGCAAATAATGTAAACAACCAGAAACAACAGGAAAAAAGAAGTAAGCAAGTCTTAAGTGGTTTATTCTGCTCATGCTACTCTTGCAGTGAAAATCTTACAAAGTTTTGACAGGCTTCGAGTGAAAATGCACTTGAAAAGAAACTGATTAAAACTGAAGATGGGACTTTTGAGTCACAAGCAGTCGTCCTCTTCCATCTGTTCAACTGCCCGGCCCATTCAAACAGCAAGAGATTGTTCAGCCTGTTGATGTGTTTATGAATGCAGAAATGGGGCTCTTGTGTTAATGATGTTTGTGTATTTTTTTATATGTGGCCGAGGGAGCAACTCAGCCATATCTGTGGCTCTCAACTCAGAGCCAGTTTCACGCCAGCAGGTTCAAGCCAGTGACATTCAGCGCGTGCGCCGACACTTAAGATTTTCCTTAGCGAACTTTAGGGTAATCAACATTACAGTCGTTTTATGCGGGTTTCCCTTAATGCAGGACCTTTATGTGTAAACTTACATTACATGCGCAGGAATAAAACATTACCTTAAGCAGGCTTAAACTAATATTAAGCTAAACTAATATTGGCTAAAACAAACTTTAGTTTTTGAACGTATCCCTGCTGAAAAAAAACAGAAACCATTAAGTGTTTCTTTTAGATTCTGATGGTTTCGTAATGTGTTTTGGCTTATGGTTTAACTGGTTACCAATGGTTGATTCGTATATTCGCAACGGTATCCCTCCCTGAATGGTAATATGCATGCAATGATGAGGCCGGGCACTGGTTAAAATACGAATGGGAACGCTCTTAACACTCAACTTTCCTATAAGGATTTTGTTTACATGGCACAATCGCGCTGTCCTACTGCGCATGTGTTCCACTTGCCTGAAACCGCTGGAGTCATAGATATACATACCTAGATGCCGTGTTGTCGGTTGTTCTCTATTTGAGGCGACGTGTCTGTGCGTCCGCCATGTTGGAGTGGTCAAGACCGCATGTAAACAAATTCACTTGTATTGAGAGATGATGAGTCTCAGGATTAAATCGGCCACAACTTTCTTAATACTCAACCGATTTTTCCCAAATTTGTTTTGTTATAATCCTCAGACATAGATTAATCTAGGTTGCATGGACTGCTCTCGGTATAGCTTTAATTTCTTTAATAACTGATCTTGCTAATTAGCCGTCCAGAGCAGCAAGAAATTATTCAGTCTGCACCTGACGTTAAAAACTTTGGAGTTTGGCGCAAGCTCCGTTAGAAACATAATCTCGTAGTCAGCAAATCCATCAATGTGTGAATCAATCTTAATACACATAAAAATTAAATAAATCCTCCGAAACACATTAAGGACATAGCTGAAGTTAGCTTCCAATTCACCAGCTTCTTGTTCGAATTTTTCTGGTCCATCTTAAATGGTGCAGCAGTCACTTTTTGGTGCCTGAAGCACCATTTAAGGTGGAGCGGGAAAATTCGAACAAGAAGCTGGCTGATGCATCATTTAAGGTAGAACAGGAAAATTCGAAACAACAAGAAAGTTGTGACAACGTCATCTGGCAATGTTGTCAGTATGTTGTCACAACCTCCTAGAATCCTCAAAAGTTCCATTATGTTGTGCATGGAACTCCATGGAATTTTGCTAAGTTGCCAACAGGTATTCGAATTTGTGATCTCATGCAGTCTTTATCCTCTAAATGTGTGTTTTTCATGCTTGGTTCGCTAGAACAGAGCCCATACTGCTGGGGAGGCATCGTACACTCGCGTTAGCTTAGCCTA